TAAAATCCTTATCATTTCCGAGAAAAAAATTATTAACGTTGTACTTTCAACCATTGCATAGCTGGACAACTGTAGTCTCTAGCATCACTTGTAATACGCATGGAGAGGCCACGTGGCCTTAGCGACTTCGAATACTGAAATCCGATTTTACATTCGTCATTGCGATAGTGTTTACAATAGTTTTTTAGTAGTTTGTGTCAAAAATGGTTTACGTGTATAGCAACTCGGAGTTGCTGGATATCGTTTTAATTTACGGTGAAACAAGACAGCATTTGTATTATGATGAAGCATTTGTGTTATAGTGAAACAAGACAACATTTGTGTTAGTTCGTAGAAACTGAGTAAGATGGATCCAAATGTGTTTACACGTCAGTGGATAAAATTGTAATATCAGGTATGTCAAATTATTTTATTATTTAAAGCCACAAATTAATTTTATTAATTAATAATAACAATAGCGGCAAAAGCAGTTGAATTTGCTAATATAAAGTATGTGCTATAAAATTCTATTTATTTCTTTCCTTGCGAAATTCTTGTCTTGTTTTTGTCCGCTTTTATCACACTTTGCCGCCGTGCCGGTCGCATTGTGCGAGGTTAGGTTTTACAGTGGACCAGTTTCCAGTGCCGTGTAGAAATGTATTTTTAAATAATTTTCGAACTGCCCTTTTTAATTTTTTCTTTACAAAATTGTATTTGTAAGTCATCCAAAAATTTTTTTTGGATAAGTTCTGAATCACCCTGTATAGTAAATAGCTAAGTTAATTCAGTCAATAGGATCACCAGATGTATAACGAATACGATCTAATTAGTTCTTATCAATCCGCTGTAGGTAAGACGACGAAGGAATGATCTAAGTATGTCTAAAAGGACGATAATTTACAAAAATTGAATGTCATGAAATTATATCAAAGAACATGTGTCAAGACAATTCTTAGATTATATACCCTAATCTTAGAAAATAGGTACCCTAGGAAATATAGTCAATAGTTTAGTAAGTCTCTGAAAATAAAATCAGGAAAAGTTTTTGCTAAAATTGAAACGAAAAAATACGAATTCATATTTATATGATTGCATCCTTGAGTAGACACTGATAGATATCAATGAATGAGAAAAGTACTCCCTTTTGTATGAAAATTGTATTAATATTATAGCTAAGCGCTTTTGACTACCCAAGCCGCCATCAAATGTATAAAAAATAGTATTAGAACAATAACCTAATAACTTGCTTAGTCTAACACGTGCGATAAACCATACAGTAATTCGATATATACAAAACATTTAAATTTTACAAAATGACAAAGGAAAAATGGGTTTCAATATTTAACAAACTGAATTTTCCTTAATTTTAAGAAAAATGAATTTAATTTCAGTACTTTATTCAGGTTCAAATGTAAAGGAAATGTAAGGTTGAAGTTTATTTAATTCCTAATAACCTATTAACCTATTGGTTAATTGCCCACGGAAAGGGAAGGACCTTTGATAAAAACTAAAACATCATCTGCACCAACTGAAAACATTACCAAATTATTATATCTAATATTAATTTATCTGTAATTTTTTTGAATTATTCTAAAATAAATCTGCTAATAAAGAAGATACAGTATGACCCATAGCTAAACCTTAGTTTGTTAATAGATTTTACTATCAAAGGTGACAAAAGTGCTGAGATAAATAAGCCGTTATGAAACAATTTATAGGATTTATCATTATCAATAATTTAATTTAATTTTCAGTTCAGTCAAGACAATATCCTATTTTTTTGGTTATTTCCAATATCGTCTCTTTGATAAAGGTGAATTCTACCAATTAATAATGACATATGACCCATTTCTGCATTTTAAGGATTTTTTTTTTAAGATTGTTTATGTAGCTATTTCTTTAGCGTGCCTAGATATTGGAGGCAAGGAATAAATATGACTTCATCTGACCAGAATTTTAGGAAAATTTTTAGATTTGATCCAATAATTGTATACTAACTGAAATAAAACGTAGTTCTATTTCGTTGAATGTCTGGTTTTACATTTTATAGTTTGATTTCTTATATGTATTGTCAGACGCAGATTCTGGCAATGGCTTGACTAGGAAAATCGCCAAAATTTTTCGCGTCATTTACGCATAGTTTTCAATGTATGCACCCACTATCTTATTATTACATGCATGTTTTTAAAACTACAGTAACGTATATACTTTTATTAGCTTATTTTATTTTGTTATGTAGTGATCTCTGATGATGAAAAGATAAACAATTTGAACTGATTTTAGTAAGCAACGAATAGTGTTAAAAACTTTAATTAAAAATACGCTGTGTGGTTATTTAACGACAGGGGTTAAATTTTTATTTAACCGAAAATTTTTATCTTCGGTTTATTTTTACCTCATCTTTTATTCACGCATAACAATTACAATAATTGGCAACTACAGATAAATAATCGCAGACGACCTACTAGTCCTACTACTCAAAGCCGAAAATGTAGGGCGGGAAACTACTTTTTCGTCCAAACGTCGTAATTGCCGCTCAGCCGTTCCAGAAGTATTAGATGACCTTGCTGCGCATGCAACATAGCACTACACCTCTCCGACCGCGCATGAAGCGCCAGATTTCAATATATTTTCAAAAATTTCCCCGCTAAACCATGAAGCAATCGGACTGCCGCCGACATGCCTCACATGAACCAGACAATGCTGACGCGCATACGACACAGGGCTACAACCCCTCTGATCACTCCGGAAGCTGACGACAATTCACCACACTTCCCAAAGTTTTCTCACCATGTCACTAGGATGAGATGATTGGTGCCAAAAGTCATCTCCTATTACGTCAGACAGTGACGACAATGCATGCTCAACATCTCCCTTAGGCGGTCAACAGGTCCAAAATTTTTACCGCACTTCTGAAAAAATGGCGAAAATGATGAAGTCCTGGAGTCATTAAATTTGAACTCTAAAACGACATTAGGATCAATAACAACCAAATTAATTTTTAGAACCCTAACTATATGGAGATGCCCTCAATTAGCAAAGACGTAGATTTTAAAAACGAAAAATTTCCAGATCCAGACCGGATCACATACCAGGCCATCCGGGGGAGTCTACAATCTACATCACCTGTGAACAAACGTCAGCCCAGGTACCCTGCAGTTTATTAACCAAATTTCGGAACCTGGCCAGTTTGTACAGTACGATTAAAATTTTCTTATATGTTTATATATGCAGATAGTTGCTCATTTATTATTAATATAAATAATAAATCTCACAAATTTTTCTAATCAAATATTGAATTATATTTCTCTACTAAAAAATATATCGTTCTACCCGTGTGAAGACCCAGCTCTCAAAACACAAAAAAGTTTCTAAAGCTTACCATAGCGACACACATAAGAACTTAAGTGCCTTCGCCCAGTGCATACAAAAGACACTGACACTAGAGTATTACGCCCTACAATACTCTATCAAAATCATAGTGCAAACCATATATACGAGGTTGAGTCGAAAAACTCGCGAACAAAACCATGTTTAATCAAATAAACTTTCATAAACTCATAAATATAGCTTAGCGCAAGTGTCCGTATGCGTATTAACTCACACAAATTAGTGTGTGGCCTATTGTCTTAAATATGCTAAAGAATAATGTTGGTAGGTCAACGCTACAAACGCATGTAGCCAATCACATTACACGTCATGCTGACCAACGTTGGGTCACAACATAAAATGAGTATCAGGCCTATCAAAATCCATCACAATGATGTCACATACAATCCTGTTCCACAGAATTGCAGCTCTGTCTGATATATTTGAAATCTGACTGAGTATAAGAGCTTTAATTTGACAGATTAGCCATGATACCAATGATTGTTTTTAAATGTTCATCTCATGCTATCTACTGGTAGACGCTCTCCACGCACCTGAGTGAGATTAATGGCATTATCACACTGTTCTGACGTTATGCGTTGCCACGTTATACGACATATCGTTAGAACAGCCGAGCTTTACGAGCTAGTAATTTAATTAAGTAAATGCAAAAATTTGCTAAATATATGTCAACTCTTGGCGAAGATACTGGAAGAAATTGCCACAAGAGCCCCAAAATTTAGTGCATTTGATTCCTATTTTAATGAAAAAATGTTTCTTTTATACTATAGGAGACATTTTCGCGTTAATATTTATTTAAATATAGAATCGGCATGCTTGAATAAATCAACAGTAAATAACAAAAAAATCATTAACAAAAATTTAGGTTTTAGGAGCAATAATCTCCAAAAACTTTCTACACTAACAGTTTTTATAAATATTTAAATCTTGTATTTGAAATCGTACTTCTACAGAAAGATATTTTTTTCTTAGAAAGATGATTAGATGAATGCAACGCTCCAATTTATAGAGTAAATACTCAGTGGTGTCGAAATATAAATTCTAGGGATCTTAGTACTAATATCTTGTACTATCTTCTCCATTGATTGGCATAATTATTGTATATAAATTCAGTGAATTTTAAGTTTTTCTTACTGTTAAGTCCATGTAGAGAACGTTTCTTAAGAAACAATTTCGAATGAAATTCGCCAAAGCAAAAATTAATATTAGACTGTTCATGTGGATATTTGCAAAAATATTTTTTCCCATAATAAAATGAGAGGTGCAATCATTCTTTTATTTTTAACAAAACCTTATTTTTTTTTTAAAAGTGCAACATTATGAAGTTTGAAGTTCTAAATTTCCAAGACCTCAAGGCCGGAAATCCCTAGTTTAATTTTTTATTTCGTAAATTTGTTCATTATGTTTTTACACTAGCATAGAAATCAACACCTAAAAATGGTATCCGTTCGAAGCTTCACTATAGAAATGTAACCATTTAATTTTCACCAAACGCCACGGTAATAATTGTACATCTGGCACCACTGGAGCAATGAGTCGACACTACTCGGTTCCTCGTTATCTGACGTCATAAAACCTTTGCCGCAATCGCGATCGGTCGTTCCACCTTAGCAGCTGCAGTTGCCCGCCGAATAACATATTTTATTCCCTAATTTCATTTATTTTTTAACTTTCTGTGACTTTTGCATGAAAATGGAGTGGGATCGTGCACATAGGAATTATAAATACTGTGTTGTGCCTCAGTGTGCCAGTACAACTTTAAGGACACCTGACAAAATATTTATTACACTTCCTCAAGATCCAAAAAGAAATTTGCTATGGCAGAAAGCAATGAGAAGAGAAAAAATGCTAAGTCTAAAATCAACGTATCATGTGTGTGAAGATCATTTCAATGTAAGTAAAATAATAATAATATAATTGGGAAGACTAGTGGTAAAAAAGTAAACAAAGGCGGGTTCAAACAACTGCTATAATTTAACAACATGAAGAGCTTTATTTGACGACATGAAAATGACAGTAGGGGTGACGGGAGATCATTGATATACTGAAACATATGATACAGTTTCAAATTTCTCACAGACAACAAAGACGCATTCTATAAAAAGTTACTCTTACAGAAACTACTACATGGTAGAATGTGCACCTAAATGTATTAACTATTTTTCTATTATCTGTTAGATTGTGCGAAACTAGATGTAATAAGAATCTGCTTATATTTATCAACGTTGCTTGTTATACAGGTTGGTAGTTATTAAAATTGAATAGTTTGTGGTGAGACTGCGTTGAAAAATATCCATAGAGATTAAAATTACATATTTTTATCTATACTACACTGGACATGTGTTCTATACTACTAAGGAACACTGTTATTTAGGTAGAGTAGAGACCTACCACTTGCAGAGGATTAATATGTCATAAAGACTTTCTTAATTGATGTAAAAATATATAATTTTTAACAGTAATATACCTGTATGTATTTGCCACACAAAGTTCAAAATAGTAACATACACCGTGTCCACCTAGTTCGCATAAGTCCAATATCTAGGTTAATAAAAGATATAACTTATTTTTTTTTCTACAAAGTTGCCTACGTTCCCGAGCTGCAAAAAATGAAAATATATTTGTATATACAGGCTGTTCAGTTTTTCCTGTGCAGGTACCAACTTAATTTTTTTAAATGATCAGGTTTGGCACGATTTTTTTTGCCCCCTGTATATCGCAGGTCAACTTTTGATACGTTTTTTGAAAGAATCATCTTCACTCTACAGTTTCTGAAAAAAAAATAATTTCTAGCTGTCATACAATCATAATTATGTTAACTACTAGAAGTGACGAAACATAAAAAAAAGTAAAAAGTCGATTATCTCGAAAACTATCAATATTTTAATAGGGATCATAACACAAAGTGTCGTTAATTTTTCACGTAGAATTCGATAATGCCATAAAAATATAGGTTTCCGTTTAGAAAAATTAAGTTGGTACTTGCCCACGAAAAACTGAACATCCTGTATATGCAAATATATTTTCATTTTGTGCAGCTCGGGAAAGTAGGCAACTCTGCAGAAAAAAAAATTAAGTTATATCTTTTATTAACCTAGATATTGGATTTATGCGCACTAGGTGGACACGGTGTATATTCGGATGAATGCTGCATAATATAACATGAAGTAATAAATACAACTTAAATTAATAGTAAATATAATAACACTCTTAGCTGGAAGATGTAAAATATTTGTTTGTGATATTAGTGTACAGGGTCGCTGATATGTATGGAAACGGTCGATTATCTCCTAAAGTAAGATATCTACCTATCGATAAGAAATCATAAGAAAATAACAATATACAATAACGAAAAAATTAAGTATACAGTCAGTCAAAAAGTCATGATGAAACAAAGTTGTTTTCAATTTTTCTCAAAATTGTAAACAAAATTCATATAGCACATCATGTACCTAAACTTAAACTTTGAAAGTAATGTTTTACTACTCTCAAATTTATAAAAGAAAAAGGGCCCCATAATTATTACGTGAGAGATCAAATTTCTGGTTATAAAATAGTATTCTATGACGTGTCCACCAATGATGCCACACCAAACAGCAAACATTTACTTCCTGTAGTCGTTGGGTGTGAACTTCCTCCATCCAATGTGGATTTTAGTCTGACCAATATCTTCAGTTGTGTCGGTTTTCGTGACCGCTTAAACAAAATGTTTACACCTTCATTTAATTTATCTACAATAACCTCGCAGACTCGATTTTACGATCATAATTGTCTTCACTCAATTCTTGTAACAAATTAATTTTATATGGATGTAATTTTTTTAATGAAATATCGACTCATCTTATGATTTAAAGCTCTCTATTGTGTCGAATTTACTGGATTTTCTACCACATGCAACATAAAATTCATAGAATTTTCTTCATTTGTAACGCTTACAGGTCTTTCACATTTTCGTCGATCTGTAACACCTCCAGTTTCAAAAAAACTCTGCAATGTTTTTGAAACAGTTGATTTAAAAATACGTTCCGGATCGGAATCCAGTTCATGAAAAATATCCACTACCTCATCACAATCGTCTTCTATCACCATATCTTATGATCATTGAAACTTCATTCGCTCGGTTTCACTTAAACGTCCCATTTTTGTAATAAAATTATTCACATTAAAATGTATTTCAGACGTAAGATAATCACTATTTTAGACAAATGAACGACGCAGCGTTATTATGGAGCTAGAAACTTTCAAAGATAACTTGATGGACTATACAGGGTGTTAATGAATAGGTGTTACAAACGGATATGGTATGTAAAAAATCCAAAAATAAGTGCAGTTTACTTAATAAACATATGTCCTAAAGCGGCTCNGTAAATATAATAACAATCTTAGCTGGAAGATGTAAAATATTTGTTTATGATATTAGTGTACAGGGTCGCTGATATGTATGGAAACGGCCGATTATCTCCTAAAGTAAGATATCTACCTATCGATAAAAAATCATCAGAAAATAAGAATATACAATAACGAAAATAATTAAATATACACGATCAGTCAAAAAGTCATGACGAAACAAAGTTGGTTCTCCTTTAATAGAATACCCTGTATATTATTCAATATTTTCAATTTTTCTCAAAATTGTAAACAAAATTCATATAGCACATCATGTACCTAAACTTAAACTTTGAAAGTAATGTTTTACTACTCTCAAATTTATAAAAGAAAAAGGGCCCCATAATTATTACGTGAGAGATCAAATTTCTGGTTATAAAATAGTATTCTATGACGTGTCCACCAATGATGCCACACCAAACAGCAAACATTTACTTCCTGTAGTCGTTGGGTGTGAACTTCCTCCATCCAATGTGGATTTTAGTCTGACCAATATCTTCAGTTGTGTCGGTTTTCATGACCGCTTAAACAAAATGTTTACACCTTCATTTAATNTCCACCAATGATGCCACACCAAACAGAAAACATTTACTTCCTATAGTCGTTGGGTGTGAAATTCCTCCATCCAATGTGGATTTTAGTCTGACCAATATCTTCAGTTGTGTCGGTTTTCATGACCGCTTAAACAAAATGTTTACACCTTCATTTAATTTATCTATAATAACCTCGCAGACTTCATAATTGTCTTCACTCAATTCTTGTAACAAATTAATTTTATATGGATGTAATTTTTTTAAAGTCGACGCGTCTTATGATTTAAAGCTCTCTATTGTGTCGAATTTACTGGATTTTCTACCACATCTAACATAAAATTCATAGAATTTTCTTCATTTGTAACGCTTACAGGTCTTTCACATTTTCGTCGATCTGTAACACCTTCAGTTTCAATAAAACTCTGCAATGTTTTTGAAACGGTTGATTTAAAAATACGTTCCGGATCGGAATCAAATTAATGAAAAATAACCACTACCTCGTCACAATCGTCCTCTATCACCATATCTTATGATCATTGAAACTTCATTCACTCGGTTTCACTTAAACGTCCCATTTCTGCGATAAAATTATTCACTTAAAATGTATTTATGACGTAAGATAATCACTATTTTAGGACAAATGAACGACGCAGCGTTATTATGGAGCTAGAAACTTTCAAAGATAACTTGATGGACTATATACTTAGGTATATAATGGACTAAAATATTTTTGTATAGGTAATTTATAAGAAAATGATTTTCAAAGTTCAATATCTCGAAAACGCTTAGTTTAGGTATCCTAGCAGATATCCTCCTTATCTATGGAAGTTTTTATAACCGTTATAAAGTCTTCCATCGATAAGGACAGTTTCATTTTTTTTAAAACTTTAGTAGACAAAACATTTTATTTGAATTTGCGGATCATTATAATGGTTTTGGTGAATCGAATTGTACAATATACGCATCTAAATTCAGTGTAATTTAAGTTGAATGATTTTTTATTAAAAAGTATATCAATCCTCCCCAGTCTCCCCTAAATAATTATTGTTACGAATAACCCTATCTAAAGTGGGAGTTTATAGTGAAATTATGAAACATAATTTAAATAAAGGGAATTTTGGATTGGTTTAAAAAAGTTATATATGATTCAAACGGGTAAAGTTTATGTTTAGATAAGGTGGATTGTTATTAAAAAATTATATGTATACAGTTTATTTAAAAGTATAGTAATAAACGAAAAAAAGTGAATGGAAAACGCATTTCAAGCAAAAATTTTCTGTAAAATGTGGCTTGACGTTACATACCTTTCAATGTAGACACCAAAATTCCCATGCAATGACAGTTTTTCTTCATACATAAAATTCCGATTACATAACGACTGGTAGACAAAAATATTTATTGTTAATTTTCTCGAAAATTGAGCAGGTTATCGAGCTTAACCAAGAATACTGTTCTATTCCTTTTAAAGTAGTCTTTTATGAAAATTAATTATTTTATCAAAAATGTTGTTCACACTTATATTTTTACTGCAAGTAAGAAAAAACTATTGTCCCACAAAATTATTGCCGTGGATAATAAAAATACCTGTAGTGAGTTTTACTTGGATGTGATCAACTGTGTTGGAGTTATTCCCGGAGCTATTAAAAAAATAATAATATTTGAACAGAAAACCTATCACCCTCCAATTTCTTAAGTAAGTGTTATCTGGACATATTGATGAGCAACTTTATGCTTAATACGATATTTTCTGTATCCTGTTTCCAGATATGTTTCAGAAACACTCTGCATGATAAAACTTCCCGTTAAATTGCTAACCCTCCCTATAGATAAATGTCTCTATAAGTCTTTTTCTATTTTTAGCTGGAGGTGGACATGGAAAACTATTTATATTTTAAGTTAATGGAAAATGTTAGAATCAAAATGAAACCAAACGTTGTACCGCACATTTTCGATTGTCAAAAAAATCGAACAATGACATCATTACTAAAAAAGCAACGTCAAGATATTATCGAGGAACTCGAGCAACCAAGTACATCAAAAAAGATTCGGAACCCCGTCGAATCTGTTGAAAAAGAAGTTTATTTGAGAACAAATCTAGAATATCGCACACATTGCATGAAATATTTTAAATCTACAGAAGTCCAGGTTAATCTTAAGCCCAAGATGGTTTCTAGAGGAACGCAATGTAACCAAAAATGTCTGCGAACAGCTGTATCTAGTAAAAAAATTGATTGTTCTCTTTCTTCATCCAGTAGCACCACAAAGACCACGTCACCGTTTGGTTCAGCAAATTTAGAATCGATCGTTTAGAGAGTCTTATTAAAATGATCCAACTAAAACCAAAATTATACGTTAAAATTCCTGTTGATTTATTGTGTTTTTACTGAAATAATCTCTTCGAAATATCAAGTATTGATTTGTAGGTACTTTAATAAAATAATATTAATCTTTCTTACTCTATCTTTGCATATGATTTTTCAGAAATGTTACCAAAGTACAAAACACCAAAATTAATAGAGAGATCTATTGAATAAAAATCTTCTTCAGAAGCCAATTTATTCAATTTTGCATGAAATATTTCCTGAAGATTTCATTTCAATTTGTTAAAATGGGCTCTGAAAGACATACTTTTGTCTAGAATCATGTTAGAAGAATGTGAAATTTTGAACCGTTTTCACATGAAAGAGTTCATACAGTAACAGGCTATGGGTTTAAACAGCTTAGTGAATTGTTATCAAAAAACATATTGCTGATAGCTTCGTCAGTTTCTTCTGAGAGGCACAAGAGAAAATAAATTGCAAAAAATATCTAGCTTGGGATCCACGCTGAAAGAGTAATTTCCATATTGCAAGAATTTATTGTTTTGGAACTTACGCGTTATAAATTCAAATTTAGTAGAGTATTTGCAGATGTTGACTTGTGGTCAATGGTGGTAGTGATCATTGTACAGTGCATCTCATTTTCAATATCTCGCTAGGGTATCTCGGTAATTTTTAAAAATAAAAATCTGTGGCCTTCAGGAATATTGTTATTTAAATTACATTATTATTATTTTGGTGATAATGGTCAAAGAAATATTTTTTTAATATTTTTTTAATGTTCAATCAATAAGTTTTTGCATAAACTTGTGTATTGTACTTATTTTTTGAACTCTATCGGTTTTCGACTTATAGCTCAAATCATTATTATTAGACACATTGCCTAGTTAAAAAAGTGTTCAAAATATGTAATTTGTTATACAGGGTGTCCCGAAATTCATGCAACAAAATTTAGTCATAAATTCTTAAGACAAATATAGGGGACCCGTATTTTTTCTTTTTGCCAACTGACCCCCTCTTTCGGAGTTACAGCTATCTGAAATCTGCCCCTAAGAAGTCTTTTTTATATCTCAAAACCATGTTGTACGAGAATCACTAAATTTGCTACACAGGGGTTTTATGACATGTGAAATCTCACAGTGCTACGCTTTTTGGCGAGAAACCCCCTTAAGACACTTTTTCGTGGGCCCCCTTGTCTTTGGAACCAGAAAAATTTGGTCGCAAATTTGATTTTTTTTTTAATTATTACTAAGCTAGAAAGCCATTGAATTTAGAAACTTTTTGTCTCTTGACATTTGTTTCGTAAAAAGCAATGTTTTTGAGGAAATTGGCGAATCAGGATATGCATTCGATTACATTTTGATATTTTTCTCGAAATCATTGCGTTTTACGAAAAAAGTATAAAGGGACAAAAAGCTTCTAAATTTAATGACTTTCTAGTGGACTGATAATTTTTAAGAAATTAAAATATGCGACCAAATTTTTTTGGCTCCAAAGACAAGGGGGCCCACGAAAAATTGTCTTAAGTGGATTCCCCGCCAAAAAACATAGCACCATCAGATTCCACATGTCATAAAATCCCTGTGTACCAAATTTAGTGAATCTCCTACAACAAGGTTCTGAGATATAAAAAAAAGATTATTCTTAGGGGCGGATTTCAGGTGGCTGCAACTCCGAAAGAGTGGGCCACTTGGCAAAAATAAAAAATACGGGTCCCCTAAATTTGTCNATCAAGTATTGATTTGTAGGTACTGTAATAAAATAATATTAATCTCTCTTACTCTACTTTTGCAGATGATTTTTCAGAAATGTTACCAAAGTACAAAACACCAAAATTATTAGAGACATCTATTCACTAAAAATCTTTTTCAGAAGCCAATTGATTCAATTTTGCAGTCTTTTTGGATCAGACACAAAAAGGCGAATATAATGAAATATTTCCTGAAGATTTCATTTTAATTTGTTAAAATGGGCTCTGAAAGACATACTTCTGTCTAGAATCATGTGACTTGTGGTCAATGGTGGTAGTGATCATTGTACAGTGCATCTCATTTACAATATCTCGCCAGGGTATCTCGGTAATTATTAAAAATAAATATCTGTCGCCTTCAGGAATATTGTTATTTAAGTTATATTATTATTATTTTGGTGGTAATAGTCAAAGAAATAATTTTTTAATATTTTTTTAATGTTGACAATAAGTTTTTGCATAAAATTGTGTGTTGTACTTATTTTTTGAACTCTATCGGTTTTCGACTTATAGCTCAAATCATTATTATTGAACACATTGCCTAGTTAAAACAGTGTTCAAAATATGTAATTTGTTATATTTAAAAAATAAAAAGTTTATCTTTACCACATAATCGACTGCAAATATGAATTTGTTTTTTTTGCCATAGCCACTTGACATAAAAATGGCACCAGACTGTTTTTACTAGCACATTTGATAGCCAGCGCCAACTTCATCCTTTTTTTTATTAAGAAAAAAAAAATGTAATTTTTTATATAACTATGACATCGAATATGGCAAGCTATATCGGCTGGAAAATCCACATGGTCCATCTGCCTTTGTATGAGAGCGACAAAGTAAAGTAAATAAATCCGTGCGATAGACAAGGATGACTATATTGAAGACATTTCATAATCTGAATAGTCACTGCCACTTCTAATCCGAAACGGGCGGTGTCTATTCAGATTATGAAACGTCTTCAATATAGCCATTCTTGTCTATTGCATGGATTTCTTTACTTTGTCGCTCTCATGTAAAGGCGGATGGACCAAGTGGATTTTCCAGCCGTGTATATCTTCCGAAAGCGCAAAACTGGCCAATTATGATGTAATTTTGATCTGCAACTTAGAAACAGTTGAAATTATTAAAAAAAATGTCAATTATAGCTGCTGCTAGAGGTCACATAATTTTTCTTTTTGTGTATAGAAATTTCTTTTGATCTAAAGAATTGGCCACGAATATTGTAATTGTATATCGTTAATAATAACCGAGACGACATTGAAGTGAATTGATTTTTAAAATAAAATTTTTCCACCAAAAACTTGTCTATTCGCTCAACTTTGCTAACCTATGTTCTTAATTATCAGACCAATATGGTTATACATTTTTAAAGAAATGCTCCTATTTTTAGCAAATTCAGAACAGACAACAACAAAAACAGTTCTGCTTTATTTTTGATAATATGATTTGATGATGAAAATTTTGCATTGGCAAGTGCTTGACGTCGGCATGAACTTACAAATATGACTGTTGATGATATTGAAGAGATAAAGAAAGTCGACTAAAAGGAAAGAATTCTTTATTCCTATAATCACACTTCTAGAAGTTTTGTTGCATCTGATGGAGCAAACAATGGAAACCTTATTTCCTTCTATAGCAAGTATATGTTTGTGTGAGCTTAACACACATGATTTTTTTGTTTATTATAAAAAAGAAGGCAGCGCACAGGCCAGTGTGTAGGTCAACAAATTTAAGAAAGTATTATCCGAAATTGCTATTTATTTAATATCAGTATCTGGTATAAAATAGTTTACACTAGTATAAAACGACATGGAGGTTCGAAATCGACATCTGTCACCGAGGGTTATCTGGAGCAATACGAAACACAAAAAGAACATCAAATAAAATCTTATCCATCAACAACTATGAAATTCGTTCGCGTTAGACAGCGAGATCCCCCTCAAATATACCCTCTTCATAGAGTCAATTCACCTTAACTGTTCCCTCCTCATCCTCCAATCACCCGATGAGAAATCAGTTACCATCTGCTATTAAATTGTTAAATGTCTGTCTTGCGACTGTACATTTAATATACTCGTGAATATTATTAACTACAAATAATCAGGACCGGAATAAGAAACAGTGACTCCCCTGACTAAAATTCCTGAGGAGCCGGACAATTTGTTTTAAACAAGCAAGACAATAGTAGAATTCTCCTTTTATATTTTCAACACTGTGCAAATATAGTTACGATTTTACATATTCAGGATATCTAGGACATCATTTCAGTAGGTTAGTCTTTGAGTCATTTAATTTAGATCGAAAAATCTTTAAGATTATATTATTATACAATTAATTAAAAGCAAACAAATATTCACTAAATTGGTATTTATATCTCTCAACTAGTGGCGGGAATTATTAAAAGTTAACTTTCTTAAAAAATTTTGACGCACTTAGTATTTTGGATATTGGAAAAGTTGCGTTTAATGGCTAATATTATTTCTAAGAAAGCACATGTCTTTAAACTTTATTCGAAAATAGAACATTGTTGAGTTATTTTGTTAATTTTAAAATAAACTTATCACTTATTCGTTTGACAAAAAAATATGGAGAAATTTTCTGTTGAAAATACTATTATAAATAGGTACACCATGAACGATCTAAAAAGGGTCAATGGCGTAATTTTGAAATATTTTCTACCTCGCCTATTTCTCAAATAATAAAAAATTATACACAAAAACATAAAACTGCAAATTTTCAGGCTCTTTGGTATTATATTATATGATAAAGGGTGTCCCAAAAGTAATGTAGGATTTGAATACTGCGCCATTTTCATTCCGAAGAGTTGGCAGCATTGTTCAGGGTCACATGTTATAGTAAACACGTTGCGGTTAAACAAAATGGAGCGCTATACGACGTGAGCGAATTAAGATTATGAAAATTCGTTACAAGTACGGAGAGTGTGTAGCTAAGACTGTGCGTAAATTACGTGGGTTTTTCGGTAAAAGGGATGAAACAACTGTGAAAAGATTACCTAGTTGCCAAACTTGAACAATTAGGTTCTATTGCAGATATTTTAGCACTTGTTTTTGGGCAACCCTATATCTTATATACAGTAGCGTGCGCATAATTAGTATTTTACGTATGATATTAGAAAGAAATAGTTTATGTTAAGTCTTATAATTGAAACGCACTTTTTATATCACTATGTGTGGATTTGCGTCTGTTTATTACAAAAGTGCGTAACCAGCTGATAAAAAATAGATCAAAAGCCAATTAAAGTATTTGCGAGTATTTATAGCACAGCGTAAATGCAGTGATGTTATTTACATCAAAAAGGCCGTGCTCGAGCTCGAATATAA